CGTGGTAATATATTTCAATATCTAGGCAAAAATTTGGAAGTTAGGGGCCCTCGAACATGCGTTTCGTTAACATATGACACAATATTTTTTATTTATATGGAATTTAAGCAGGTTGAAAGAAACAATTTCTTCGTCAAAGAGCATCGAAGTTGAGAACGACCCCAATTCGATCGTTGATGTCGAAACGTGTCATAAACGGTCGCTTGCGGGGGACAAAACTTAACGTTTTTTTAACTTATTGATTAAAATATTTTCGATCTTATTCTCGTCCCCGCTCCAATTATCGACTTCATCCATCGTACATTGCTCAGCATACCCAAATTGCACAACAAAATGTCTCACATGAGCAAACACATGCCTTCAAACTAAATCAACGCCTCTTTGAGCATTTTTTTTTTTTTTGGCTATAGGAACCTAATCGATTGGTCCCCTAAATGGCAAGGTGTATAACCTCAAGTGCCAGGTTTGTAAAACGTGGTGTTTATCCTTCAGTCACAGTTTTTCCTTTATTTGTTGATGTAGATGTCCTCATCGGTGTAAACGAAATTGTGTGATTTGTTTTATCTTATTTGCTTTGTGGAGGTTGATTTAGAAGTGGTGGAGGTTGGTTTGACAGATGATTTCGTTCGTATTTATTTATTTGTTTTTGACAATTAGAGACGGAACACTGAACGACACAAAAGACGATACAACTGAGCTGTAAACACAAATTCAAATTTTAAAAATTGACTAATTAATCGATTAAACAAAAAGTTTAGTTATAATCTATTTATATATATATTTTTTTTCTCTATGTACTTAGTATTTGCATACATATATATATATTTTTTCCCATGATTTATTTTTTATTTTTTATTTTTTTCTTTTCTTCATTCTTATGTGTTGGGTGCTTATATTTTTTTTTTTTTTTTCTCATTTACCTTTTTTTTTCACTATAGTGCTTTATCCAGCCCACTTCTGTGTAGGAAGTCAATAAGTTGTTTGTAAATGGTGGGATTTTTTGAAAGCAGAATTTGTTTGAAGTTGTGGTACGTTTGGAAAAGCGTATACTCTATTCTTAGAGTGCTGTAAGCACTGCAGTCGAATATAAGGTGTTCCGCCGTTTCCTTAGTGTTGCACGTATTACAGGTATCTGACCTGTAATGTTGAAATTTGTTTAAGTACGTATTACCGTATGTATGTCCTGTTGCAATTCTGTTAAATAGTTTTATGTCGTATGCTTCTAAGTTCAGTTTTTTGTTTTTAAACCACGGATTGTTTATTTTCAATGTACAAAATTCCGCAATGTCAGGGTCCCAGTTTGGTAGTTTGTTGTTAAATTCGTCTTTGGTTTCAGTCCACAGTCTGGTGCTTATTTTTAGGAGTGCTTCATTTGGGCTTAATTTAGGAGAGAGAGATTTACCGAAATCAATTGCAGTTTTTGCAGCAATGTCGGCTTTTTCGTTTATAGTTATCCCAACATGACTGGGTGTCCATACTATCATTATGTTTTCTATGTTGGATCTGTGTAGTTTGTTGTGAATTTCTGCCACAAGGAAGTTCTGTGTGGTGTGATTGTCGAGGGCTTTGATTGCTGCCTGGCTGTCTGTGAAAATTGCTATCTTTTTGTTCCCGCTGTTGCTTGCTATTGTAGCTGCCTGAGATAGTGCAACTAGCTCACCGTAGGTTGAGGTAAAATTTCCGTCTATGTTAAAAAGGTATGAGACATTGGTTGTTTCCACGTACACTGCACATCCAACTTTATTTGCCATCACCGATGCATCAGTCGCATATATGTAGTAGCCATCATCCTTCAAAGTGTTGATTTTTTGGTTATAAATTGCTCTAAGTTGTGTGGAGGAGAAATTTTTTTTTGAGTTCGATAATTCAGATTGAAAAAGGGTAATATTGTTATGTCTATTAAAGGCAACATTTGTGTCTATGTTGTTTATGGTTACTTTGAATTTTTCATATGTTCTACTATAGCTTGAATTTATGGCCGGTTTGTCTTGTAATTGGGTTCTTAATGCCGGGTTGAGGAACCATTGTTTGACCAGTTCTTTAGCTGTCAGCCACACTGCTCTAGATAGAGGTGGGAGTTCGCAGGCTAGCGCGTATCGCATAAGTGTTGGGGTGTTAGGTGGTACTCCTAGACATCTCCGTAGCGTTTCATTAACGCTCGTTTGAAGTTGCTTGTTGTAACCTTTTGGTGCATTGGCGTAACTGGTGCTGGCATATTCAGCTTTGGACCGGACGAATGCTTTAAACAGATTTATTGAGGTTTTAGGGGAGATTCCTGCTTTAATTGATGTTAATTTCGAAATGAGGTTTTTACCTGGAGTTACAGCTTTTTTAATGTTGCTAATATGTACCTTGACCGTTGAGTTTGCGCTGATGGTTCTTCCTAACCACTTAAAGCATTGGACTTGTTCCAAGTTTGTGCTGTTGATTGATATGTTGAACTGTTGTCGGTTATTTGCGGACATATACATGAATTTTGTCTTTTCTAAGTTGAACTTTAGATTTAAGTTATGACACTTTACCTGTAATTCTGCTATTTTATCTTGTAAATTTTGAACTGCTGCTGTTTTGTTTGAGTTTGTGGATACTATGGCTAGGTCGTCAGCGAATTGAAATAGGTGCGTGTGAGGATTGTTGATTTCGTGTAGTTGGGCTGTATATATATTAAATAATGTTGGAGATAAACAGCTACCTTGAGGTAAGCCTGAGTGTATTTCTACGGCATGTTTTCCTAAGGTAAGAGTCCTTTTGGAGAAAAAGTTATACGTCCAGTTTGCTATTGATGTTTCTATGTTAGTCTGTAATAGAATATTGTAAAGTGCTACTAAGTCAACTCTGTTGTAGGCATCCGACATATCTAAAAAACATATAAAAACAAAGTTTCTACTGTTCTTTTTATCCGCGACTAGATGAAGCATCTCATTGATGCACATCGTCGCTGATCTTAGTTTACGGTAAGCATAGCTATTGTTGGGTAACTTTTTGTTAGTTTCTATGAAATCGTTCAGCGATTCCTTAACCATCATATTTATGCTTTTGGCTACTACTGATATTAGTGAAATTGGTCTATAGCACGATTGAGAGAATACAAAGGTTGCGCCGATCTCGGACCGCTATTCCTCTCTTAACGAATTTGACAGAATCGTGGTTTGCATGACGTCACACTTGTGCAACTTGTTTACGTTTTCCTTGCAACATTTTTCCTTCTTCTTCCATTCTTGCTCACGTTTTGGCATTTCTCTCTCGCAATTGCACCAGTGTGACGTCACACAAAAGTTATTCTCAAAAATCCTCTCTGATCGGCGCAATCTTGTATTCTATCATTCTTGGGTCTATAGTTGTTTATGTCATCTGTGCTCTTATTTGCTTTGGGGATTGGTATTACTTTTATTAATCTCCAGGCATTTAGGACTCTGTTGCTGTGAAAGTGTTCTCTCAAGGATGTTAGTAAATTTTGCTTCGCCTCGGTAGACAGTTGCTTTAGGATATTGAATGTGACCCTGTCGAGCCCCCCAGCTGTTGATTTTTTCTTCGCTAGTAATTTTTCAAATTTCATGTATGAGAAATCAATGCTCCCGTTTGACGCGCTTGGAGACGCGTGGAATGATGGACAACACGTGATATTGTGATTGCTAGCTTGTTCCGCTTGTTCTTTTATAATTTCTAAATAGTTGCGGTCGTCTTCGGCTGCCCAGTTGTGCAATGGCCTTTTATTTCCTTTGACATTTCTTATGAAATTCCATGCATTTTTGGAATTAGGGTTAGCATTGATTTCTTCTATTTTATTGTTATAGCTAGATTTTTTTGCTTTCTTCACTGCGTCTTTCCAGTCACCGGTTGCCTTAATTGATTCCTCCATATCTTCTATGCGGTTAGTATGATTTGCTTTTTTTCGTTTTGCCACGTGTAGTCTGTAGTGTTTATTGAGTTCCTCGCTCCACCATTCTTTAGGAGTGCGATTAGCCTTATTTAAATCAATTTTTATTTTATTCTTGACATTGTCAATCACATTTGTGAAATTTTCTAGATCATCAAAGCTTACCTGCGCTAACTCCCTAGCCAGCTGTTTCTTGGGGATAAAGAAGTTGGGTTTCTTTCCGGTGTTTGTTATCTCTATGGTGATAGGAAAATGCTTGCTGCCTCCTAGATGTACTTGGTGACATTGCCATTTTATCAAACTGCTATTAATATTTGTGAACGTTATGTCTATTACAGACCCGGCACTGTTTCCGGTACGGTGGGTAATAGTTCCGGTGTTGATGCATTGAAGGTTTGTATAGCTGATTTCGTTGATAATGATGCTTCCTTTGGAGTTGCATATTCTGTCTCCCCATGCCTGATGTCTAGCATTGAGATCGCCAGCAAGAATAACGTTTTCGTGATTGTTTAGTGCGATAAGTACACGATTTAGTTCGTTAGTGAAAATAGTAGTGTTGATGTTGGGAGGGAAATATATATTACAAATTGTTATGTTTCTGATTAAATTAGTGGTTTTAGCTATAAGGATGTCAAAAGTGGAGACAAATTTGATTTTAGTGAATTTAATACCTTTTCTGAATCCGATTCCTACACCACCGTAGCCGTCGGTTCTGGTTTTTCTAAGCAAGTTGAAGTTGAATAGGTTATGAATTGTTGTTTGGTTGTCATGTGAGAAAATCTCCTGAAGGCATACTATATCAATGTTGTTGTTACTATTAAAAAGGTCTACATAGTTTTTATTGCTTTTTAAGCTTTGTATGTTATATTGTAATATTTTTATCGAACTGGTCATCATTGCTAATTGAAATTTTGTCTTGTATGTGTACTTTGCCTATATTTTGAATAAGGTTGACTAATGGGTCATTTATATCAATGTTATACCTTTTTATTAGAAGATTTACTAGCCTCTCTATCTCTGTTACCTTACTCCAGTTCGCCATTTCATATACAGGCTGTATGCTTGCTTTAACTCTCGGGGCGTTGTAGGTTGGCTTTGGTGGTGCGGATACTTGTGGAATATTTTTCTTTACAACTTGATTGTATTTGGTAGTAGTGAGTTTTTTGTTAACCACTTCGTCGTTATTGATCATTACTGTTTTTTTTGTATCTAAATGAGGGAAGTTCCCTTCAAAATCGTCTAAAGCAGAGAATCTGTTATTATTGTTGAGATTGTACATCCCTATTGCCTCTGATTTTGATACCTTTTTAATGGTCATTATTTCTACTACCTTTTTTTCTTTTGCCCATACGGAGCATTTGCTACTTTCGAGTGAGTTGTGGGTATCGCCTCCACATAGTATGCATGATTTTGTGTTCTGGTTACATTTGCTATTGCAGCCCTCTGCTTTACCACAAACTATACATCTGTTTGCTGCTTTGCACGCCATTTTGGTGTGGCCTAATCTTCCGCAGTTATAGCAGTGTCTAATTCTTGGGATATAATGGACAATTTTTATCTTTACATAGAATATTTCAATTGATTCTGGTATCTCGTTACCTTCAAAGGCTATCTTTACAGAGTACGTCGGGATGAATTTTTCTTTGTCATTAGGGTCTCTTCTGGTAATCCTTGTAATTGATGTGATCGGTATGTCTGAAACTATATTGTTCTTTATTTCCTGTTCCGTGAAATTAAGTGGAATTTGCCTCGCTACTCCGGTGGTTTCCACCATGCTTTTGGGTATGAACGGTCTCATATTATTTTTGAGTAAGTCCGGGTTGTCTATGCATTTGTTTGCTGCTTCGAAATTTTCAAAAAAAATTTTATAAAGCGACCTACCTATTGCTTTTATTTTTTTTATTCCTAAAATATTAAAGTTTTTTATTTTGTCCCACAGGAAGAGACCATTTCGCATTTTGTCGTTTTCGATCATTGTAGATTTAGAAGTGTCCACTAGTACTCAAAAATCGCACTTGTGCCTATTTGTGTAGCGCACACTGTTGGTGTTTTCATTTTCGCTCTTTTCTTTATTCGCACCGCTACTTTCTGTTGTATCTATTTTTTCACTGTCCGGTTTTTTGTGATTTGCATTTTCACTGCTTTCGCTGATTTTGTCCGCATTGTCCGTTAGATTTATTTGCGCATTTTTCACGTATGTGCCTTTTTTAACAAGCATCCCTTGTAACGGGATAAACATGCCGTTATTACTTTCAGTTTTAGTTTTTTTGGTTTTGCTAGAATTTTCTGTCTGTTTGGTACAGTCATCGTCAGTTTCGGAATTTCTTCCTGCCTTGTCAACCTTAGCTACTTTAGATTTTTGCCTTTTCCTAATGTTAGCCGCTTGTTTCCCATTTCTTCCAACCTCAAACCAGTCCGCCCCTGGAGATGTGTTCAGCTCCAGGTTTGTCCCCCCAGTGTCCGACGCCGAAGCGTCACTTTGCATTTTGGCCGCAGCCAGTTACCACCACCTTTGACTCACCTTACTCGAGATGTCCGAATAAAGCACTTAGTGACTTTTAAATATTTTGTCCTTTATTTTTTTTAATTTATTTTTTTTTTTTGTATTTCTTTATATATTTTTTTGATTATTTTTTTTTTCTTTTACTTTACAAAATGCTTAGTTTTTCAAGGAACGAATGCCTTTACATTAAACAATTACATTTACATGTAACTCATACAACACTTGCACAAACAACAATTAACACACAATGTATTTTTAATTATGCTGCTCGAATTTGTAAACTGGCACACTTTTTCACAAAACCAACCTCGCACGACCGATGATAGAAGATGAGTGTCTTTGAGCATTTCGTTGTTCATTCCCTCATCGATGTAACTATGCGAACTTGAAGCAAAATATTGTCAATAACACAAATTTGTTGTGAGATTTATAGGGTTGAAAGGATCTGTTAGCACAATCTACTTTATCCTCTGTGATTATTTTATCAACTGGACTGCCCTGCCTATGGGTGTTAGAGGTTTCTGTCACGAGAGTGCCTATATCTCCTTGTTGTCACACCCAGGCAAGTGGACGTCTATCAAGTGTTCTAGTGTTTCTATCCTAAGTTCATATTAAATAGGTAAT